GATCTTAGCCATTCTTGTAAGCCACTCTGAGCCCCAGGGGAGTGGCGGCATAGAAGTTCGAATAATAAATAAAATAAAATAAAATATGTGTATATATGTGGTTTTGCGCATGCATTGTAATGTATTTTTTATTTCTTGGCTTTTAAAGACTCTTCTGCTGTGTTTTTCAGTGTTTTTATGAGTGATGGTCACTTGTTGGCCTGAGAGGTGTCTTGTGTCCAAATTTGGTGTCAATTCATCCAGTGGTTTTTGAGTTATGTTAACCCCACAAACGAACATTACATTTTTATTTATGTAGATTATTATTATGAAACTGGTTCCAGGGTTTCCTAGGTAATCATCTGTGAAATCACCAACTGCTTGAGAATGCTGAGCGACCAATCCTGAATTTGGACAGCAACACATTTGGCAACGTCAACATTGCAAACCTTTGAGGGAGAGGTGCAGGGAGAGAGACACATTGCGAGGAGAAGGAGGGAAGGGAAAAGAGAGGGGTCTTGGACACCGAGCTTCCATTTCCAGCAACACAAGCACTCCTGCGTCGGAGGTCATGCACATCAGTGTACCTTTAAGCATTTTAACTGCCACTGTTTTGCAGGTTGAAGATTTATCTATGCCAAAAGCAGACGCCTCCACCACTTTCCCAAAAGCACCATGACCCAGAGTTTTACCTAGAGAGGCAAGAGGAAAGAGTGAGCCGAGGAGAACCGGAACACCATTCGCATCAGAGCAGAGCAGGGCTGTGTGTATCACGGCCACGGTTGAAACGCAGGCCACGCTTTACCCCTGCAGGGCTTTTCGACCCACCGTTTGTACATCTCAAACTATTTCAGGACAGTATTCCTTGTGGACATGCATGTGGGTCTTTCTGAGTGGGCAAGTCAGTTCCCCCCCTCTTTACTTTCTCTTCTCTCAGCTAAACATCCCCCAGGAGGAAGGAAAAAAAGAAGGAAAGAAGAAAGGAAGGGAAGGATGAAAGGAAGGAATGGTGAAAGGAAATGGAAGGGAGGGGAAAAAGAGAGAGGGAAAAGAGAGAAGGAAGGGAGGGAGGAAAGGAGGAAGAGAAACATAGAAAGAAGGAAGA